ATTCACTACCCCCAATGAGGTTCAGAGAACATCTAATAAAAAAAGAAGCAGAATGTCAAAGGCAGAAGATGGATGGAGGACTGTGAACCACTGTAGACATGACATGGCTATTTTATTCCTGAGTTCATAAGAGCTGTAATTACTTGCACAAGACCTTCCTACAATGAAGGAATTCTAGCATAGACGGTGGAGGTGCATTTTAGGTGCCATACCTTCCTGAGGAACTGCATGTGTGGGGTAGCTGCCAGAGGGTTGGAAGTTGGGTGAGAAACAATCTTTTTATTTTTTATTATTTTTTTTGAGAATGTGGCCGTTGGTAGTTTTCTCATCATCTCATCATCTGTGCATAATCCCACATCATTTCAAATATGGCAAACACTAATTTAATTGGTCTTGGTAGGTTATGAAAAAAGGCATGAGGTTGAGAGTAGATTGAAGGGAGGACAAAGGGGCAGCTGTAAGGAGGAAACGAAGAATGATATGATCGTGTTTCATTTTATCCACTTGTGAAATTCTGAAGAGTAAAGAAAAGTAACAAAAAGAATGGAGGACTGGCTTGTGTAGGAACCATGACAGAAAAGCATCCATTGGATTATAAAATGGCTCTGTCAATGACTCATGAAGACAATCTTTGTAACGGTAGAGGAGGCCTATCTGAAGAGATGGCAATAAATGGGAAGTGGTAAGTGATAACAGTAACTTGTAATAAGTTTTTTAGAGATGTTCTGATGTGACAAGCAGTAGAAATACAAGGCAAAGTGCCAAATGATATGTGATGTCAAGAGAGGATTTGGGGGAGTTAGAGACACACCAACATATGAAGAAAGAATTCAATGGCAGAAGAAAGAGCAGTGTAGTGATGTGAAAGTGAAGTTCCTTGAAAGGAAGAGAAGACTGCACCCTGGATGTCCAGTTTCTCCACTGTTTCTGATTAAGAATGCAGGTTTAGGTAATGTTGAGGTGTTAGAATAAATCATATTAGATGTGATGAGATTTTTCTTCAGAAATAACTGGTCTTGTAGAAAAGAGTAAAATATAAAACTGAAAAAAAACAGTAGCTAGTTCCAGAAAATCCTCTGAAAATTCTTGACAGTTTTCTGAAAATATAAAATGATTTTTATTATCCTGACTCCTGTGTGGGTCTTTAAATATGAATAATTAATACTTCCCATTTGATGCTATGTTTTATGAGGACTAAAAACCTTACATCTGATTTAGCTTTAGCGTATTAGAAGTATTCAGATATTAATTCAAGACATATAAATGAAAACAAAGACATTCTGAAATAGTATGTCCAGATGATACTTGAATACACATATTTTAAACTGTCTTTGTAATTCTAGTTGGTTGTGCCCAAGAATCTTTCTGATTGAAATCCTCAATATTCCCCATGCACTATGCCTTTAAAAGGACACTTCCTTTTTCCCTTGTATTATTGTATCATAAATTGTAAATTATTTTTGTTATTTCCCAATTGTTTAACTACAGAGTGCACCCATTTATTATTATTATCATAAAAACTGGAGTGTGGGCAGAGGGGGCACCTGAACTCATTTTTCAGTGGTCAGTATCATTAGCATTAACCTTTTAGATTGTCTGCCCCTGATATTTGGAAAAGCTGGGAAGGTTTCATCTAGGCAGAATTGTAGTTTTACCCTCTTGCCCTTATCACCCTTAACTCTTATCTGTATTAATGGTGGAGATGTGGTCAGGTCAACTTTCAGATGGTTGTCTTAGCTTGAGACTAGGCTCTTTGCTTTTTCTCACCCCAGTACAGACTTTAAAGATAGGATATTAAAGAGTAAATATTTAAAATCTTTAAAGATTTTTGGTCCACTCAGTAGGATGCATTACTTCTTTTTTTAAAGTAACAAAATAGATTATTCATTGATAATCTTATACATGTATGTGATACATTTTGTTTATTTCTTTTCTCCATTTCTTTCTCTCATCCCACTACTGCCGAACCTCTTCTCTCTCGAAAGCCCACCCTTCCCTCCTGTTTTCATGTCTTTTGTTTGTGTGTGATCCACTGAATTTTTTGTTCATGTGGTTTTTGCTTTTGAACTTTTTATTAATTTTTTGTAAATTTCACAGCATTCATCCCAATCCCACTCATCTCCCCATCTCATCTGCCCTCTGCCCTTGTGACTTTTACCCAAATAAAACAGAAAGACTAAAACAAAAACAAAAATCTACTCATGGAAGCTGACTCATTGCAATGAACACTTGCAAGTAGGGATGTAAGGACTAAAGGGTGTACTCTGTGACTCACTGTGATTCACTGAATTTCATTAGGGTGGCTTGCCTGAGTATGGATGAAGGCATCATCAGTGGCCCTGCTACCTAAGGAAACAATGACTCTTCCTACACTTCTTCCCCAAGAAACCATCAATTGCCAATGACCTCATCAACTCCTACTCCTGGATATATCACTTTTTAATCAAATAGCCATTCATTAAAATATTTTAACTTCATCCTTCAGTCCTGAATTTCAAATAATGATTGGTTCAGTTTACTTATTCAAATCCCTCCACAAGACTTTTAAGTCATACCAAACTGAAAGGCTTTATTGATAATGGAGTTTAACCCCCTCAACACTATGGTTAGCTGGTGAGCTACACATTGAAGTAATGTACTCAGAACGTTTTCCTGAACAGTGACAGTCGAGGCCTTGGTACTTTTCTGGGGAATATTCAGAGCTGAAATATCGATAGTGTCTGGATGTCTTCAAACTGACAACAGTAGTGTTGGATAACTAGGGAAACTAATACTTGTGTATCTCATTTGAGGGACTATGAAGAGTATGTCATTTCTGACATAGACACAGTTACCTGGGAGGTGGGGACAAAACAGTTTTATAGACTTGCCTTCCAGAGGAACCCTGTCAATAAGTTCAAAGTAGATTTTTTAAATTATAGATTTTTTTGTAGATTGAGAGAGTTGAGATAACATATGGAAAGGAAAATTTAGATAATTTCCCTCAGAAGTATACGAAAAATTGAGAATTTTTTTAACCAGACTTCAAAAATCATGTGCAATAGTTATGATACTACAGCATTAAAAGGAAAAGATGCTTTTTAAATGTTATTTTCCAAATATGCTGCAATTATTGAACATTATTGGATGCCCCATTAAGGAAATTTTTAGTACTGGAGAGAGGTGAGGTCATTGTAGACACAGAATGTTTCAACACTGTCAACTTTATTGCTGTAACAGAGTGTACTTTCATATAATATTGAGATGTTCACATAGTACATTAGATATATGTATTTACAATGTGACCTTTAATATTCTTTATCCTTTCTCATTTCTAATTTCTAAATCTATTTTCAAGGTACTTGCCATTTAAAATTAATCTAATTTTGATATTTGATTTTTAAGCACTTATGCTCTGTTTAATGACTTTATTACTATTCCTTCGTAATACTTGTACATTTGAATAATCTTTTCATTATTAGTTTTAGATCTAATGAAGATGTTGAAATGAAGAACCCAATTTTATCCTCCATAGATATCGTTTTAAGCGTTCTGCCATGTCTTTGAGCATAATCCCACATTTATATTGTTAATGAAATTTTCACTGGATCTAAAAGTGCTAATTTCTAAACTACTTTGAATTAATTTTTCAAAGTATATGGCACCATATAACCTTAAAATTCCACAGTGCTTATAAGAATCTCAAACCTCACTGTGTTCATGATTATATAAATAACCTTTAATTTCACAAATCAGTTCTCCAAGTTAAGCTGTTTTCTTAACTCGGAGAATCAAATGCTCATAAAGCAAATGCCATGCTGAAATTAATATGTTTAGAAATAAGCAGTGTGATGGTGAGGTGCAGTCATCAATAGATAAATGCCACCGAGGGAAGACTTCCTACAGTGAGTATTCAGAGACCACTAAAAATGTTGAAACACAGTTTAGTAATTTTTCTTGCCCTCACCTGTTCTCAGTCTGATAGTAACTTACTGAACTTTAAGCATTTTTCCCCTCTCCATGAAAAACACATTGAAACAAAAATAGTTCAGTCTAAAACATGAGGCTGACAAATTTTGAAATTATCCTTTATATAAGCATTTGCTAAAGAGCCCCATGAGATATGGAACACTTATCACATTTGTTCCTTCAACTTTTGATGCAAGGCAGATAGTTGTTACAGTAGATCATAATTTACACAAAGCTAAGACAATGTAAGAAAAAATATTATCTTAATTTAGTTTTACACAATATTAAGTCACAGTGTTTTAAAATGGTCCATGGCTTACTTCCCCTTTTTATATATTTTAATATATACATATTGATTATCATTTCAATGCTTTGCATCTATGTGGAGGTGATTTAGAAGCATTCTCAACTTAATAGTAAATAATGAGTCAGTTTCTTATAGCAAAGATACTATGATATTAGCATTCCAATCTAAGAGCTGCTTAACATCAATAGGTAAGAGCTGATGAGCCTTAAGTGATGTCAATACTCTTGCTAAATCATTTGACACTTCTTCGACATGAAGACAGCAATAAAGCTGAATAATACATTGATATTGGAGTATGCTAAAGGCAACTGTTTTACTTGAAGAATTGTTTTTTATGGAAAACAAAACAGAACAGAACAGCAATTGTTTGAAAACTATTTAATTGTAATTCACTAAATCTGTCTCTGAACTGAATTGAACTACTTTAGAAAATGAATTCTGGATATGGTTCTCTCTCTTTACATGCACACGTGCGTACACACATGCAGACACACACACACTACTGTGCACATCATTTCACTCTTAAATCTTTCGTATAAAATTAGAAAAAGAAACCAAGAGGATAAAAATGGAAAGTAAAAACTAATAATGAAGAATCCTATTATATTAGTTTTAGCTACTTGGTAAGTCAAACCAACTCAAACTACAAATTCACATGTTAAGTTTCTGTTTGAACATGACATATGTAAAATATATTTGTATAGATTTTTTTCCTGTTGTCAGAGAACTCATCTAACAAAGCTATGTTTTTATGGAATACTTTACAAATTTGCATAGTATCCTTGCTTAGAGGCCATGCTAATCATCTCTGTATTACTGCAACTTTAGCATATGTGAACAACAAAGCCAATTTTTATGTCATGTGTGTATTTTTGGACAGTATATAATTATATGTGTACATGGATATAGTGATTCTATAGTGAAGGTGGAAGTGATTAACAACAATAGCATATCAGATTCTATTTAGCTATTATTTATCTTGTTAAGTTTTGAAAATTTACCAAGAGAAACTAAGCATTATGCTTGTATTTTCTCCCAATTATTCAGGAAAAATTTAGCCTTCATCCAACCAATGTTGGAGGTAGAGGCAGAGACCCACATTGGAAGCACTGGACTGAGCTCCCAAAGTCCAGTTGAAGAGTGGAAGGAATGAGAACATGAACAAGGAGGTTCACCATGATGGATGGGTTCACCCATTGAAACAGTTTGCCTGAGCTAATGAGGGCTCACCGACTCCAGCTGGACTGGGAAGGAACAAACATAGGACCAAACTAGTCCCTCTGAATGTGGATGACAGTTACATGGATGGAACAGGCCGAGGGGCCACTGGCAGTGGCACCAGGATTTATCCCTACTGCGTGTACTGGTTTTATGGGATCCTCTTCTCTTTGGATGTTTACTTTGCTCAGCCTAGATATAATAAGGAGGTTCTTGGACCTTTCACAAGGCAATGTGCTTTAACCTTGTGGATGGATGGATTGGATGGGGTAGGGTGGCATGGGAAGGTATGTGGAGGGAATAAGAGAAGGGGAGGGAGTGGAAAATTGGATTGGTATTTCTTTTTAAAAAAATCTAATAAATTAAAAAAATAGAAGAAAATTTAATGTGGCCATGCAGGCTGAATAAGGATCTCAACCTGGAAATTTGTAGCCCTATGTTAGTGTCACCTGGGCACGTGTGTGTATTTGGCTGTCAGTGATCTTCATTGGGTGTCTTCCTTCATCACTCTGTATCATATTTTTTGAGATAGTGTTGTAGAAAGAAGTTTCTGTCCCAATTGGTTCCACAGCCACTCAGTCTCAAAGAAACACACAGATGCTTATGTAAGTTATTAACATTTTTTTTTGCCTATTAGCTCAGGCTTATTTTTAACTAGCTCTTACAACTTAAATTAACCCATAATTCTTGTCTGTGTTTAGCCACATGATATCTTTTATCACTGAGGTATTCTCATCTTGCTTCCTCTGTGTCTGGCTGGTGATAGATTCTCTTAGCCTGGTAATCCTGCCTGTATTTTCTGCCTGGCTACTGGCCAATCAGTTTTTTTTTAAACTAATGCAAGTGACAAATATTTACAGTGTACAAGAACATTATCCCACAGAGTCTATCACTAAACTTGGAGATCAGGGAATCTTCTAGACTCACTGATCAGCAAGACCTAAGTTATACTCCAATCTCTATCCCTGTCTCACACAATTCATACAATATCTAGGTGTTGGGGAATCTAAATTCAAGTCCTCATGTTTGTGCAGCAGGCCCTGTATCCATTGATTCATTGCCTCATTACTGAAATTCATAGTTCTTATTCATAGATAGTATATAATTAAAGGGAAATTTTTCTATTGACTTTTTTTTAATTTAATGCTTTAGTCTTTGAAAATCAATTATAATTAACACTTTTAATTTCTTTAAACATGTAAATAATATTTAAAACTGTGTTTAAGTTGATACTAACCATTTTTTATCATTTTTGTAGATTATGTATAGAAGAATATTTTAAGTTAATATTTTAATTATCATTATTTTAGTTGTGTATATTTGTTAGGTACAGAGTGTAATTTAAAACACAACTTTAATGTGCAGTGATCACATCATGCCTGTTGACTTTTCTACTTCCCTGTTTAGATTCTTAAATCTATGTTTAACTGAAACATGTATATAGAGTGTATATTTGTGGGATATGTGATATGTGTGATGACTCAAGTTTTTAAATAATATATGATAACTGATACACACAACACTAAGACATTTTTGAATCATAGCCATATAGTTCAGTACAATGCTCACTTGTCTGTTAATTGTCACTGTGTTGTCAGAGCCTTTGAATTTTTCTCTATTTCAGAATGGTAGGACTCTGAAATTATGCCCAACAATATTAGAGTCATATATCGCATCCAGTGATAAAATATGCAGTGGGGACAGCCCCTGGATGAGGAGTGATGTTCTAGTGTCAGTTCCAGAGTCAAATAACTGGTGATCACTCGTGTTTATTGGGTAATACTCAACCATGATCTCTGGTTTGCTTCTGAAGTCCTTTGTTCAGAAGACAGATCACACAGAAATGCGGGAGGTAGTAATTATATGCTGAAACACAGGCTCTTGGAAGTTATGCTTGGGTCATTCTTCTACTGTAAGAAAACATTTTAGATGCCCTTTTAACCTTTCATGCTGCTGGGACCAAATCTACTGTCTTACATAAGTTATGTAAATATTCTACTTTCAGGCTACATTCCCAGCCCTGATTCCTTGACTCTGTTTAAAAATCCATGACAAAGACAGCATTTTCCTCATCAAACTACAGCAGATGGATGAGAATCTCTGTAGCTTCTTTAGACAAGGAAAGGTTAAGGAAAAGGGGAATGAAGGAAAGTGTAGAGCTATGTTTCTCAAAAATAAGCCATTGATTTGTTCAGTATTTGTGTGATCCATCTCCTCATTAGAGACCGTTGCACAGCAATCTTGAGATGTTAGAACCAGACAAAAACTGGCCAGAAAGAGAAGATGAGAACACAAGAGCAGTTGTTGCTGCAAAGCAGACATATTCTTCTACTGCACAGAATTTTTTTATTTGTATAGCCAACGGTTGCCTCTCTCTCCTCAAAACAAAGCCTAGATAGAATAGCAGTTACCGACACCATTTATTCTGTCAGTGTTCAACACACACCTTACTTTTAACTTTGAAGAAGCACTGCACTTGCTATGGCTCCTTTAAGCCACCAAGAATTTTTTCAAAAAGTACATTTTCTATAAAGTTTTTAAAAATTGGAAAGAAGGTTTTGCTTTAAACTTTGGATGTAAGCCATCTCTTGTCCTGCTTTCTGCCTCTTTCCATTACAAATTCTTCCTCTTTGTCATACTTTCCTTTGTTTTCCCTCTGACTTCTCCAGCTCTGGGTTTCCAGTATTGGAATTTAAGGTTCTTAGAATCTTTGAATATTAGTTTCTTTCAGAGAAACTCCAAAATGAAATAATTCAATTTTCAAGAGTATGTGGAGAGTAGGAGCTGAGGGTGAATGACACCTGTGATTTTCTGCTTTTCAAGGAAAGACGACTTCAGATTTTATGCATCTGGGGGCAAGATCTGATTGTAATGATTGTCATTCCAAAAAAAAAAACCCAAGCAGATTTTGACCCCATGAAAAATGTGTAACAGATGAACTACTAGGCAGGATGACACAGAAGAAAATGGCTTTCAAGAACAAAACTGTAGTTTCACACTTTGTGAAATTCATTGTGCACGGTGTGGGTGAGATACACTGCAGCCTGGCTAGTAGGAGTGCAGAACCTCATGATGGTAGAGAAAGACATGATGAACTTCAGATTGAATTGTCTAATCTCTTCCCTGCCACAAATTTAAACCCTTATTCTGAGCCCTATTTCCCAGGAAATCACCAATTATATATAACTATTTTATTATGGAACTAAATTAATGTCATTTTGTCTTCTGTGGTAGTGATTTGTTGACAACATAATGATGAATAACCATTCCCACATTGAGAAAAAAAATTCTCATTTTCACTTCTTCTTTCCATATATAATTTCAGCTACTATTTTATACTGTTTGGCAAGTTTTATACCATTTGTCAAGTAGCCACTATTGCCTTTTGTGTATTGCTTATTTCTCTGGATGTTCTGGTCAGTCTTTACCATCACCAAGCTGATGACTTAATCATAAGCAGAATGTTCAAATTCATGACCATTGGTTGTATGATGTCTTATACAATTCAGACTTTCTTAATACTGCAGACTGCATTTCAGATTTTAAGAGTAAACAAGACATTGGGAAGAGGAGAGAGAGAGAGAGAGAGAGAGAGAGAGAGAGAGAGAGAGAGAGATCCCAAATTAGTTCCTTTTCATGGTTGTGTCACCATTCAATACAATTTGACTCATAATTCAGAGACACTTTGTTTTTATTTCTATTCAACCAAAGGAAGGTGAGAGGACAACAAATTTATTTTAACCTGTGCTCCATTACTTAATAACCATAGCATTATACAGGTGATGTAAACAAATTTCTGTGCCTGAGTTTAGCCATCAAATTGAGATTCAAAATGGCACTTATCTTATGATGATAACAGATCAAGAATAAGTGTGTGTAAAAATGTTCAAGCATTCCCTCAATTCAGTGATGACCCACACTCAACATTATCAAATAAGAAAAGTGTAAATGAAGGAAGAAGTCATACCTTGCCTCCTCTTGAGGAGAAAATAGTTACATCGTGGGATAAAATTAGCATAATCATTGAACAGTGTCCTGATTTCATCACTAGCTTGTCAATAACACAGGAAATTTAATCTTAAATTATCTTTTAGATCTTTTGACTTGCAAGCAACAAGAATAATAAATTATATTTTAACATGCCATCTACCAAAGGAAGCTCTTGACAATGATTCATCTATACCACTGATCCATTTTCTTACTACCAGCCACTATTTATTAAAGCAAGGCTTGCTACAAGATGGAGATCTTATCTCCAGATTATTATATAATAGAAGGAAATAAATTTGGCCACTGGGAAGATTGCAGAGGGATTTAAGAAGGCACAGCACGACTCTTAGACAATACTGAAGGGACAAGATATGCTGAGCTGATTGTTAGGAATGAGTTGCTGTAGACCTGGGGGAATGGCAACAGGAATGCAGTCCTTTAAAACCTTCCATCAGAGAGCAAAGAAGACAAAAAGATACTATGATAAAAAATACCCCATTGTAGTGGTGCTGCTTCATTCACATTTCGGGGACATATCAAGAAAGTAACACAGTCCGTTATGATTTTATATTATATACAAGTCAGAATGGATTAGTTAAGTATCGGCACTCTTCAAGGGCAGCTCCAGATTCTTGGAAGTAC